ACACCTATATGTACCAGACACTGTACTAGGTGTTGGCATTCAGTACCCTACAACAGCCACAGTCATTGCCTCGTGACACATGCACAATGCTTGGGAAGAACCAGACAGGTGATTAATTATAAATGGGGCTGGGTGTGCTCAGTGGAAGTGCAGGGCATCATGGGAATGTATAACTAGGAAACTAACCTTGTCTGGAGGATCAAGAAAGGCTTCCCTGAGAAGTGATGTTTACACAAGGCCTGAAGAGTACATCAAGGGAAGAGCTGTAATGAAGGCTGAAGGGAGAGTGCCCAGTTTGCAGGAAAGCCCTGAGACTAGAGAGAAACCTTAGTTGGGGAGGGATGGGCAGCTATTCACAACACAGATGTCTTTCACCTAAGGACCCTGCCACAGGTCACAACCTTCTTCCTTTCAACTCTTTATCTTTTGCCTGAGGTGGGTCATTTGTTTTTCTTTTCTCTTGATCTAATTGCAAATCCAAAAGATTACCTTAATTATGGAAAATCCCAGGGAGTCCCCCCCCCCAGAGTATAAGAAAATCCTAAATCTTGAAGTAAAATTAAATATAATGAATAAAATAACAACAAAACCATCAACCTTCACAAACCTTATAAATGTCCTTCAGTAACACCATAAAATTATTTAACTAGGATCTCCCTCTCCAAATAAACCTGCTATTATTTTGTTCTGATTTTTCCATTACAGATGTAACATATCAAAACATTATTTGTTAAGTAAACTTCCATGGGGCCAGCCTGGGATGCTAATTCCTATTTATGGTACGTTTCCTATTGTGAAAATGGGTTTCAAGCTCCAAACAGCTGACTCTAAATTTTGATGAATCAACCATTTTCCAGTTTGGGACTTTGTTTTTGAAATGTGATGGGGGTGGGAGGAGGGTGATAATGCAAGTGATGGGGCACTCTGTAGTCTTGGAGCAAAACATTGCACTTCCTGTTTAGGTTTTTTTTTTTTTTTCCTGACAAATGCCTCCGTCAGTCGATGATTCTTTTTGCCAATTGTTTTTTAGACACATAATGAATTTACTATTACCCACGTAATCGTGCCAAAACAGTCTGCAGGACCAGACTACTGCGACGTGGAGAATGTGGAAGAATTATTCAGGGTTCAGGATCAACACGATCTCCTCACTCTGGGTTGGATCCATGTACGTTTGACCTTTTGGGTCTCATTTTATTGTGTGTCTGTGTGGTGTGCTGTTTTCCTCCTCGAGGAAATTCTGCTTAATTTAAATAGTTTCTTATTTTTCAATTCCTTCAAGTGTAATAAATGTCATCATAGTAAAGTGTTTTCTTCAATGTTAGGCCATGTCGAAATCCATCAAGTCTGAATTTGGAGAGGGAAATAGTACGCTTTTTTCTACCATGCAGAGTTAAAAGAGGGAGAGACATCTGGAAATTAGTGACTCGTTTTGATGATTTTACATAGTAGAATGGAGGCCTCTGCAGATTTTTAACTACTTTGTCTAGACAGTTATTAATGTTCTTTTCCCCTTTGCCATGGGGCTAAAGAAGATTATCTTAAGAAAATTTTGGAAAACGTTTCTTTTAAACAGGTGTTTTTACATATCAAATAGGAGCCATACACTCCACAGCACCTCCCCTTCAGGCCAAGGATGTATAAACTGTATAAACAGCCATGGAGCAGGACCAAAAGGAGCGAGCCAAAAATATTCAGTTCTAACATCCACCAGGCCATCATAGGAGCAAGAAAGGGCTTAGGAATTAAAAGACGTGATTTTAAATTACAGCTCTGCTAAGGATTCACTGTAGGAATGCTGGCAAGTTATTTAAGCAATCTAAGCATCAGCTGTACCATCCATAAATCAGGATTCATAATAATTGACTTCAGGTGATGGCGAGTGTTAAATGAGGTAATGTCAGTGAATTCCTTAGCACATTTTTCTAGGGACTCAGAAATGTGTGGCTGTTGGTTTTGGTGATAATACTCAACTTTTTCTATCCTTGGTTTAATCTATCTGGGGGACATTTTTCCATTCAGTCTCACACATCTGGGCCTGGTGTAGGGACAAGTCATCCCACTGTCATGGGATGCTGGCCAAGATATCCAGGACACATCGTGGGGACCTTCAGGAACCCCTGACGAATGATAAGTGACCATTTTTTATTTTACTTGCTTTATAGAGAAGTACAGCGTAGGGGCAGGACACACACCCACACCCATACTTACTTACACACACACACACACATACACACAATCACCAAGCATATGGTGTTCTCTAATTTAAGAGGGTGGAGGAAACTTAACTCCCAGCTCCATCTGTAAATTACTGTGTGTCCTTGGTCAGGACTCCTAAACCTCCCTGTGTCCAGGTTCCCTCATTGACCAGATGAGGCTGATACAAGCCTTCTCTCCCTCGCCTGATGTGTGTGAGCTATAAACAAGCTACCAGGTTTGAAAGCCTCTTGAAAATTATAAACTGTCTCTCAAATACAAGAAATTATTTATAAAGAAGAGTTTGCAAAACTTTCCATCTCTCTCTCTATTTGTTGTACTTAACAGTAAGTAATGTCCCCTACTGTTTGCTTAGACATTGCTGAATTTTAAAGGCATAGTTTAATTTAACCTGATTTTCTGTAACAAGAATGTATTTTAAAGCAAAAAAATAAATTGTAGCAAGGAAATAGTAACATAAACTTAGAAAAAAATGACAGTTTGTTAAATTTACTTACATCAAAAAGTCAATGTTAGTTTAGTTTTTCCCTTATGACCTGTATATGTAATGTATGCAATAATGACATTAAGTCATTTAAATAATGACTTCAGCATAATTCTAGAATTCCAGAATTTTTCTTTTTGTTTATTTCACCATATCAAATTGTTGTGGTTCAATGATAACATTAAAATGTTACATGTCTAAACTTCAATGGTTGTAATGACTTTTTGTGACGAGTTTTATTGGCATAATAATAACAACAAATTCCAGAGCTAATTTTTTTAGATATAAATCAGTCACAGAAAAGACAGGCTGAAACAGAATCAGACAGATCTGGATTTGAGTTTAAACTTCTCAGCTTAACTAGCTCTATGACTCTTAGCTCAGTTTCCTTATCTGCCAAAATGGGGATAATGATAGCACTTATCTCGTTTTAAGAATTAAGTGAGATAATTCATGGGAAGTGATTAATTCAGTGCCTGACACATGATTTAGTTGCAATAAATGACATCTACTGCTAAAATCACCACTACCACCACCACCATCATCATCATCATCATCTTTATTTCCTTAGAGGAGGTTGGGGCAAAGCACCATTCTCCCATGGGAGAGTCGTCCTCGTGGATTAGAAGCGATTCCTGTTGGCAGAAATGAAGGGCTCAGAATGCCTTGCGGCGTGTATTCAGTCTGGAAGGAAATTGACAGGCATAGTGATTTGTCTATTTCACAATCTGTTTGCTGCGTCCACAGCACCAGAGTTCCTTTGGACGTTTCTTCCTTTCTCACCAAGACATAGAAGGCTCTATGTACTAAGAGAAGGTTTTCATGGAATAGATAATGGGCAGTCAGACCCTCCCACTTAAGCCTTCAGTAAAGATTTGGGTTTTAAAAATTAGGATAATTTCCATTCCTCAGTTGATCTATTGTATGTCTTTGCAGACCAAGAGTTATGTTTTCCTTGCAGAGCACTTATCTTTCTGTAAATAGATATTAACAGATTTTATCTTATTCTAGTCAAAACAGTAGAAAGGAGTTTTAAAATCTGACATTTTTTTCAACAAACCATGGTTATATGTAAAGGTGTGAAGCTATTTCTATGGGCTTGTGCCCTTTAAGTAATAATAATGACATGAAGATAACAACAGCAATAATAGCAACTCATAGTTTTCATTTCTTACTATGTGCTAAGCACTGTTCCAAGAATTTTACGTTTTCATAATAATCCCATGAAGAAAACAATTATCCCTATTTTGCAGTTGATGATATGGGCATGAATTGGTTAGGGAATCTTCAGTGTCATAAAGCTAGTGAGTGATGGAGGCAGGACCCAGACAGAGCATGCCAGCGACCTTGGTTTCATGATTTAAATGGTCATATTCCTTGTTCAAGTATAATCGGGGTTGACTGAATTTTAAAATCATTATGGGTGCATGTGTTTTCATATTCAGGTATGAGCCTCTGATGTGTCTCTCATAAAAACAAGTTTGTACATAGCCAAAATCTGGAAGATAATTCTTTTAATTTATAATCTCCTCTTCCTGCTCATCCTGAGGGTATTTACTTGTGATACAAGATGAGTCCCAAACACCTTCAACAACTTGGAGAGTTTGATTCTCTATTTGTAGGGGATGGTGATCCGTAAAAGCATCCACAGCCCCATGTGGTAAATTTAGTGAAACCTTTCCTTTTGTGACCATGGTTTTGTATAAAGGATCACTGGGTTTCTAGTCACAGCTCTGCTTCTCATCCGCTGTGTGACCACGGGCAAGTTACTTAAAGGAGCCCCAGCATCCTTGTATGTAAAATTGAGATAATATAAATATCTCCTAGATGAGGTCTGATGATTAAATGAGGATCTATTTAAAGCCTCTGGCAAATTAATTTCCAGTTCTGTCTTTCTGAATAAGCAGAAGGGACATGAACACTCCTAAGCACTTCTTCTCAAAGTCGTAGTTATTCCAAAGATGCAAAGAGTGAAGGAGTATGTTAGCAAGACAGTTTTAAAAATCCATATTTGATTAATGATGGTAAAAGTGAAGAAAAAGCAAATAACTATACAGAATGGGCTGTGGGCGTGGCTAAGACTCATCTATCTCAATTAGATTGTTCTCTTTTCTTTTTCCAGACACATCCAACCCAAACTGCATTCTTATCCAGTGTTGATCTTCACACACACTGTTCCTATCAGCTCATGTTGCCAGAGGCCATTGCCATTGTATGTTCGCCAAAACATAAAGAGTAAGTATAACTTGAGGGGACGCATGTCAGGCTCTGTCTGGGGCTGCTGGGGTCAGATGTGTCCACACACAGGTTGTGGCCCCTAGGCAGGCACACCATGCCCTTGGGAAAAAGAGGCTGGTGGCAGGCGGCTCCCAAGTGTCCATAGCTCTTCAGTTTTGCTTTTTAAGGCCCCTCTCTGTGGAAGAATCACTGGTTCTCTTCAGTTAGCATGACCTTGACGTGGATGAGCTGGATGTTATTCCACTTTGCCTGTTGAGATCTTAGTTCTACTGTATCATTTCCTGTTGGAAAATTCCCAACCTTAGCTTAATTACCTCCAAAACCTTTTTAGGTTTGGGAGACAATGATTATTGTGGAGGGATTATAAGCAGAGAAGTCAGGTAAACTTGTGTAGGAATCTTGTCTCTGCCCTCAAGTGGTATGTTTATCAGGATACCTGACTACGGGAAGCCCGGCCTCTTCAATCCCACGAATCGATGCGAGGATGACCCTCCATGATAGTCTTTGTAACGGGCTTAGCCTAGTACCTGGCACTGCAGCCAGCATTCCATAAGTATTTGCTGTTGCTATCACCACTATTAGCATTATTAGAAAAATCAGAAATATCTGTGATTTCCTCCATGGGGCCTCAGCTTCTCCTCTAGTCTCACACAACAGTTCAGCTGCCTCTTTCCCACCACAGTCCTGCAGGTGCTTGGAGCAGGGCTGGCCCCTTCAGTGTTTTTCTCCACTAGGCCAGGCATCACAGGATTGGTTTAGAAAGTCACCGCAGAATTCCTAGTGTGTGGTTTCCTCCTCCGTCCCATTTAAGGAATACGTATGCTTGTGCCATTCCAATAAAGCATCTGGAAAACCCGAAGGATCCTTAATTTTGTACTTTTTTTTTTCACCCTGAAACTTAGCACTGGCATCTTCAGGCTCACCAGTGCTGGCATGCTTGAGGTCTCCGCTTGTAAAAAGAAGGGCTTTCATCCACACACCAAGGACCCTAGGCTGTTCAGTGTGAGTAGACAGTGTTGGTTATTCTTTGCAGATATTTTTTTACCTCCTCTTTTTTTTTTAAATCAGTATAATGTGGGATAAAATATTGTACTGCTTAATTTCAAGTTTTCTTATCCAGAAAATTAACCAATCTTTGTAATTCTGATTTCTTCTCACTATTAGTTTATTTACAAGGGAAAGCCAGTGTTTCTGTAGGAGCGTTGATTATACCTTAAGTTACCTTTCCATTTATGTGTCGTTATGATATTTAAATACAGTTTTCTTCAGACTCCAAGTAAGCAAACAATTATTAAAGAAAATGATATTAAATATCTCAGGAATGATTTTCACTTGATGTGACCACATTAATTTTTTATAGCAGTTCAATGAAAACTGTAATCATACTTGTTGATTAGCTTTGGATAGCCCCAAAGAAACATTATTTAACCACATTTTTTTATTTCTAACTGCTTCTTGGTGGTTCTTTGGCTGTAACATCTGAGAAACATTATTTTGAAGTTAGTATTTATTTAAAATGAAAATTACTTGGCAACCTCTGTAAATATTTTCTTGTCGTTGAAAATGAATAAACATGATCATATTTGTTATGCTTGGAAATATTTTCAAAATTAGGTACATTTTTAAATTAGCTAATTCATATTCCCTCTCTAGAGAGAATTATGTAAAACATTACGATGTAAAGCCAATTTTTTCTTTCCTAGATATGCAAACATGTGTTGGTAAAAGACATAAAACTAACCGTGCTGGATCTGAGGTGATATGTTCTGAAGATTAGCACCGTCAACGCCAGACACCTACTTATGGACATGTGGTTGCTGGATTTTCTTAAAATGTTTCCAGAAATGACTGATATTTTATATTTATACATTTTAGATCAGAAAGTTTGATATTTATTGCTCTTGCACATTTTGAAGATTTCTTTTTGGGTTGTCCTGTCACAAGAATGGTCACAATGGTGTTAAATCAATACCTATTAATGTACCCAAATACTATGACCAGATAATAAATTGTGCTGCAAACAGTGATATGACCAGTATTTACAGAGGCCTCTGCATATGTTTTCAGAGCTTTAGATGTTTTGCTGTATTTTTTTCTCATTCCTATCAAATGTAATTCCAAACAAGAAATTCTGAGCACAAGGTGGGCTCCAAGACAGGCCACCTGTTTCTTCAGCTTTTCCATATGGTAGAAAATGAGCAGTTTCTGTATGTGAGAAAAAAACATGCCTGCAGATGGCAGAGCCCATCCTGTGTTTTCAATGTCTCCCAGTCCCAGGCTCAGAGATGTGTCTTCAGTAAATCTTAGTGGAGGATACCAGAATATATCAGGGATCAGGTGTCAGAGGGTTTGATTTAGAGGACTAAAAGTAGAGATGCATGAGAGAGGAATTAAAAAATAAAAGACTCAGATAAAAGTGTAAAGCCTGTTGGTTAACAGAGGTGACAGGGAAAAAGAAATGAGGCATAGAAAATAACTGGTAATTCTCAGCCAATAAGAAAATAATTTGGAAAGAGCACTTGTAATTTAAAGTACCTGCACAATAGCAAGAAAATTACCTTTAAACTGGAGGAACATAAATATAATGTTATGGTATTACTAAGGGCTTAGAGTGGGATTTGTGACTGGTACTCGGATAATAAAAGCATTTGCCTGGATCAAAAGATACGGATTAAATAAAAGGAGTGGAAGACTTAAGTCCTATGTTGGCAAGTTCAATTGGTAGGAACAACCTGAGGGTGGAAACATTGTGGAGAAAATTTAGCTGCAAATATAAGGAAGGAAGGATGAAGTGATATGGTCGAAGGAGCAAAGTCCAGCCATTGCAGCCGGAAGGAGGTGGATACTTTCTTCTGAGAATCTACACAAGACTGACAGTGAGGCACGTGAAACTATTCAGTGAACAAGTGAACATCATGTTTAGCTCAAAGCAGATCATGATAAACCCTGGACTTGCCTAACTGATTGTTTAGTTTCTCTGTAGAGGATTTAAATGTTAACCAATAAGGCAAGACAAATGAATGTTACATTGACAGAAACGTTAAAGAAAAACGAATACATTGAGAGGTGTCTATAAAGAAATTGTTTTGGAAATACAACATTTCCAATAACCCTATGGGGGTAACTTAAAAGGGACTAATGAGTGAAACACGTAGAGAAGTCCCTAAGAAATCAAGTACATGCTATGGCATGCTAGCAGTCCCAGTGAGGTGAGCACAGAAAGGCATTAGAGAAACCATCCCAGCAGCCCAACGAACTTATTGCTCTGCCTAGGTTCCAAAGGAGCCTGTGTAAAAGCTAGAATGCTTGAACTGAGCCCAAGAACAATTCTGAAACAGAGACAAAAATTGGCAACTAAAAAAACAAGGATGTAAATAACAAAACTAAAACAATTTAGTAAGGAGTTTCATGTCCTTTATTCAAGGGCGAACAATCCATGGATTGGGGGAGTACAGCACCTCACAGTCGTGAAGCTATTCCAGGGGATATTTGGGCAAGAGCTGGTTTATGGAGTGTTAGAAGAGGCAACCCAGAAACAGGGCATGACTGGCAAGGAGGTTGGGGATTTCCTTATAAGGCCGGCAGGTCCTGTTTTCTAGGGTAAGGTGAGCCAGCTAAAGCTGAGTTGGATGACTGTGATTGGTGTGTGTTTGGTGTCCTTGACAGGTGTTTTCTGTAAGTGTAGGCTGACTTAGATTTAGATGAGATGTGGGCCACGTGGGGCGGCCTCCATTTGTGGGTCCTGACATATGAATTAACTTGATCAGAATTTATATAGCTTCTCTGGGAAGAATTTATGCCACACATTTCTACTTCATTAATATTGCTGTAGATCAGCAAGGGGTACAGACGTGCGCAAAAGCAGGACAGCAGAGCCTTATGTTCTACCATCAGAGCACCTGGGTTCAAGTTCTAGCTCTGCCATGTACAAGACAATGCTTTATGACAGTGTGAAACCCAGAATACAAGAAGCTAATAGGCAGGGCAACTTCTGGGATATGGTCCAGCCATGCAGCCCACCTTACCTGGCTTTACGTGTCAGTCTTACTGGGGTATTCGCTCTGTCTCACCTCGCCCTTGTTTCCAGCTCTTTTATAAAAGGTAACCCCTGTGATATTGTGATTTATGGGAAAAATATATTTGGTCATTCAGATAGCTAGAATATATTTCTCATATATAATTGGCCTTCCTGCACAGTTCCTGGCTCATAGCTCCCCAGACCCTTGGAATTTTCTGAGCTATATGAGCAATGGGAACATCTTTGGTCATAATATTTGGTTTCTTTGTCCTCAATTCCTGAAAATACTTCAGAGTCATAAAAGTGAAATTGGTGTTTTGTTTTTTTTTATTCATGACAAGCTCCTTTCCACCACCACTGGATTTATGTAAGTAAGGTGACTTTTGGAAAGCACCTAAGGATGGGGCTGGTTGCCAGGGGAACCGACCATGTGATTAGAGAGTTGAAACTTTCAGTTTTCACCCCCTGATTTTCCGGGATGGGTCGAGGATCTGGAGGTTGAATTGATCACCAGTGACCAATGATTCGGTCAATCACATCTATGTAATGAAACCTTCATAAAAACCTAAAAAGAGGCGGTTCAGAGAGCTTCCAGATTGGTGAACCAGACTGTTTCCATGTGCCACCAGGCCCCAAACACCACAAGGACAAAAGTTCTTTTGTTCAGGACCTCATACTATGTATCTCTTCATGTGGCTGTTGATTTATATCCTTTAATATCCTTTGCAATAAACTGGTAATCTGGTGAGTAAACTGGTTTCCTGAGTCCTGTGAGCTGCTCTAGCAAATTAATTGACCCAAGAAGGGGTCATGGGAATCTCTGATTTATAGCCAGTGGGTCAGAAGCACCAGCAACAACCTTGACTAGCAATTGTCATCTGAAGGGGATAGGGGAGCAGCCTTGTGGGACTGAGCCCTTAACCTGTGGGATCTGAGGCTGTCTCCGGGTAGATAGTGTCAGAATTGAGTTAAATTGTACGACATCCAGCTGGTGTCCAAGAATCGCTTGGTGGTGTGGGAAAACCCCCATACACATTGGAATTGGGGTGCAAAATCCTTTACACCTGTCTTTGAATTCTCAGAATTCTCTTGATTATTCAGAGCATTTATGGAGGGGGTAACTTTCTATTGCAATATAATTTTAAATGTGTAGAAAAGTTGACAGAATTGTATAGGTAACTATCCTTTACCGTATTCTTAGATCACCAGGTCACCCACTGCTTACATCTTGCTCCATTTACTTTACCATCTTCTCTCTCTTCCCCCACCCCCTCTCTCTCTGTCTTTCTGTCTCTCTCTCTCTTTCTGTGTGTGTATATATATATATATTTAAATTTATTTTTTCCTGTAAACCATTTGAATAAACTGGCTGGATATATTGAGTATCTCTTTACCACTAAATATTTCAGTGTGTATTTTCTAAGAAAAAAGGTTCAACCACAGTAAAATGATCAAAATCAGGATTTTAATATGAATACAATACTATTATCTAATCCATAGTCCATACATAATTGTCATTATTTTTCCCAATACTGTCCTTTATTGCTTTTTTTTTTTTTCTGGCCAGATTCCAATCTGGAATCACACATCACATTTAGTTGTCATATTCCTTTAACTTTCTTTCATCTCGAACAGTTCCTCAGCCTTTCTTTCTTTCTTTCTTTCTTTCTTTTTTTTTTTTTAGTTTGACATTTCTGAAGAGTAAAGGACATTTATTTTGGTAGAATGATTGTTAATTCATGGTCAGCATATATTTGGTCATGATTAGATTGTAGTTATACAGTTGTGGCAGAAATGCCACAGGCATAATGTTGTGGTCTTTTCAGCATATCATATAAGGGACACATAGTGTTGGTGTGTCCCAATTATGGTGGTGTTAATTTAGATTATTGGTGAAAGTGGAGTCACCAGATTTCTCTTGTATAAAGTTACTCTTCCCCTTTGTAATAAATACGGAATTCGTGAGGAGTTATTTTGAGCATATGTAAATATTCTTCAGGACACTGGAGAATAGTTCACCAGGCATGCCTTTATCTCAGCAGATATTGTTCCCAGGCACCTCAGGAAATCCCGAGCTGGTTGTCCTTCTCCTTGATCAATCTGATAATCTCTGCCTCCCTACTCATCCTTCAGGGCCTTACGTTAGTCTAGCCTATCTTTCTTCTTTTTTTCCAACATTTGAATTTTCTTCTCCAGTCTTTTTTTCCCCCTGGATCTCCAGTGTTTTCTTGACAGGGTCAAGCTAACCCATCTAACCTTCACTCTTCCCAGTGTTTTCTATGCCACCCACAGCTTTCTCAGACTTTGCTTTCCTCCTGACATTACACCTGAGTTGCCTAAACAACCCTGTTCACATGTACTAGCATCCACTTTTTAGCTGAATGATACCTGCAGTCCAGCAAGGGGCATTCCCTATAATCTGTGTGTGGATGAGCTAACATTCCTCTCCCACTTGTCTAGTCCCTAATACGGGGATCCTGTCATGCGGATTCTGCTCCAACTCTCATTCATGTAGAGCCTACTGTAGGCAGCCCAGTGACTTGTGTCTGCCTTATGAAAACATGTTAGCTTGGAAAGCTCAGATCTCAGGCTCTGGATGTAGAGCTCGGCTTGCCCTATGCATGAGGACTTGAGTCTATAGCCAGCACCAGCTAAAGGCAGATTAACTCTGCAAGGCTGGCTCCACAGAAAACCTGCTCTTCCCTGAGCGATGCTGTCCTCGACTTCTTAGCATCTGAGGACACCATTGTGACATGCTTGATCAAAGGAAAAGGTTATTTAATTTATCCAAGTAGAAATGACTGTTGGAGCCAGGGATAGTGGAGAAATGAGGGAGATCCTCAGAATATAAGTCGAAGATACAGTAAAATAAAGAGGATGTAAAATAAGAGGAATCTGATGGTAAAACTAAGGCTATTAAATGGTACTTAGAGACAGAAAGGGCTTGGTTGAAATCCAAGAACATTTTGTTTCTTAGATTTCTGGAAAGAATAGAAAGAGCAGCTATGAGTATGCAAAGCAAATTATATCCCTTCTGAATAGCAAATTAGAAGAGAACCCATTTTTTACTAAAAGGATAATATAATGTATCCATTAAAGCCTGGGGCATTCTTGGCATTTTCATTTCCTTGCAAGAAGAAGCAAAACCTCAGACCTGAGGTGAACCTTGAAAAGTCCTTCGTGAAGGGGATGTGGTTTTCTTCCTGACAAGTACAAACCTAATTACCCAGACTTTCCAAAAGGACCTTGTCACAGAACTGAAGGACTCTAGGAAGCAGCAAACGAGTGCCGTGCCCTTGACTGGCAGAACAAGTCCCTGAACTACTGTGTCTGAAAAAAGAACCGTCAGAAATGTGGTCACACCACTGAGGGATGGGCTGGCCCAGAGGTAGAGCCCATGTGAGCCACCCTGGAAGTCCAGGATGTGCCTACATGTGTGAGCGTGTGCACGTGTGCGAGTGGGTGAGTTCATGGAACGTGTGCATGTGTGCGAGTGGGTGAGTGCATGGAGCATGTGCATGTGGTATGTGAGTGGGTGAGTGCATGGAGAGTGTGCACGTGTGCGAGCGGGTGAATGCATGGAGCATGTGCACGTGTGCGAGCAGGTGAATGCATAGAACGTGTGCGAGTGGGTGAGTGCATGGAGTGTGTGCATGTGGTATGTGAGTGGGTGAGTGCATGGAGCATGTGCATGTGTGCAAGCGGGTGAATGCATGACCACCATGTTCCTTGGATGAGCTTCCTTTGGAAGATCTCATTCGTAGTAGGCTGTGCGGCTCCCCTTTTTGAATATGAATCAATTCCAGAACCCTGTTTGCCACTTCCTTGCCTCCTAAGATAAAGACAATTCATTTCCTTTCAGATTTGTGTTTCTGTATAAAATGAACCAATGAAGCCTGAGATTCCTTCTGTTTTTAATGTCAGTCTGTTCTCAGTGCCTGGCACCTAATATGTGCTAGTTATGGGCTGAATTGTGTCGCCTCAGAAATTCATATATCGAAGTCCTAACCCCCAGTACCTCAGAATGTGACTGTATTTGGAGGTAATTACCTTTAAAGAGGTAATTAAGTTAAAATGAGGCCATTAGAGAGGGCCCTAATCCAATATGACTGGTGTCCTTATAAGAACAGATTAGGACACAGAGGGAAGACCATGTGAAAATACAGAGAGAAGACAGCCATCTATAAGGAGAGAGGACTCGGAAGAAACCAAACTTGCCAATAACTAGATCTGTGACTTCTACCCTCCAGAACTGAGAGAAAATAAATTTCTGTTGTTTAAGCCACCTAGCCTATGGTATTTTGTTATAGCAGCCTGAGCAAACTAAAACAATACTTAATAGTTACTGAGGTTGTTGTTTTCTTCTTTTTTACAGTCTGAATGGAAATGACTTTCTTCGTCTTCATGCAGAAATCATTCTTCATAGACCTTGTCAGTTATAGAAGAGCAAAGCAGGATATTTGTGGATTATTCCCAGCTACTGAAATTTGTTCCTGGATTTTTTTTTTTTTTTTAAGATTTTTATTGGGGAATTGGGGGATGGGAACAGCGCTGGTAAATGGGGGAAGGGGAACAGA